GTGCAATGCACACGCCTGCAGGTGCCTGTCGGGGGCCCAAGAGAGTGCTGGATCCCCTGGAGTTGGAGTTACTCACAGTTGGGAGCCTCCTTCAGCACTCTGAGGTGAGATGTGATTTCTGTCTCATTTCTCATGAGGCCAGTGCCCCAGAAGTGCTTGCTCAGGACCGAGCCTGATTCTCTGGTGCTGGATGGACTGGCTGGGAGGAAAGGAGGAACAGAGGCTGTGTAGTAACACATGAGAAGAGGGTGGGGCCACAGCTGCGTAACAGGACAGAAATGAAACTGGCTCCCTCTCCGCATTATCGGTGCCTCAGTTTCGTTTCCTTCGGCTTGTGTGTTACTTTGGACAGAGACCGCCAGGATCTTGGTGTATACCGCAAGCTGATCTGGAAAACCCTGTATGCTTTTCTTGTCTCAAGCTCACAATCCCTGCATCAGCCTCCTAAGGGCACCACTGTTCTGGGCTCCCTGCAGGCTTCTGGGTAGAAACGAAGGTCTCTGCCAGGTCAGCTAGGAAAGAGGTCACATCTGGTTGTGGTCCTCCTGTGTAAAGACAGAAGGTCATTGGAACTAAAGCACGGTCACTAACTAAACATGGAGAGGAATCAGCAAGGCAAGCCTGTCGCTCTCCCTTTACACATTGCAGTTATAGCTCATCAGCATCATTATTAAGCTTCATGTTGACCTGGAGTGGGGCTGTCTATCTGGCTCCATCATTGTTCATCTCCTAGGAGTCAAAAGACTTCTGTTAGCTTGCCTTTTTCTGAGAAATTTCAGTATCATACGCAAATGTTTCCTATTAGGTGGGGCTTATGTGAATAACTGGACATCCTGAACATATCTTAGGATAGTATCTTTCTCCTTGCTCAGCTCTGAGTGTTTGGTCAACCCCAGGAAACGTGGTGGTATATGACAGATTTGGAACTGTAGCCTCCTCTCCTAATATGACCCCTGAGGTCCTGCCCATCCTTGAGGAAAGCATCTGACAAAGTTTATAAAAATTTAGCTATTTTAGGGGCTGGAGAGATGGCTCAGTGGTTAAGAACACTGACTGTTCTTGCAGAAGACTCGGGTTCAAATCCCAGCACCCACATGGTAATTAACAACTGTCTGTAACTCCAGTTCCAGGGGACCCAACAGCCTCTTCTGTCCTCTGTGGGCACTGCACAACATGGGTGCACTTATCTACATGCAGGCAATACAAGCAAACACATAAAAATAATAAATTAAAACTTTTTAAAAAATTTAGCTATTTTATCGCCTGACCCAATGACTCAGCTTGTCAAAGCTTTTCCCTCATTGTACATAACTTTATATTCTTAGATGATTTTCATGTTTCTGTATCTTCAAATATAGGTACAACCTCATGTTTTACCCTAAATCTATATCCTACAGATTCAGAGTTTTTCCATATGATTTTTCTTCTTCAGGATCCCATTTCTTCCTGAAATTTGGCTTAGTTTCTCTCCATCCTATCTCCCACTATAATAGATCTTTATATTTCTGAACCATATCTACAGATACAGTTGGGGGACATTGTGAGGGAATTCTTGGGTCCAAGGAGTCATAAGAGGTGATTAGCATACTCAATCTCAGTCAAATTGAGCCATGGTCTTCCTATAATTACATTAAACATATGAAACCATTTCGAAGCTCAGTAAGAGGTCTTCTTATATAATGGTTGTTAATACTACATAGGACCCTATGCAGCACATTACAGGGATCTGTTTTTGGTTTGAGACAGGAACTTCCTGTAGCCCCAGATGGCCTGGAACTCACTATGTAGTCCAGGTTGGCCTCAAACCCACAGAGATCCACATCTCTCTGTCTCTCAAGTGCTGGAATTAAAAATATGGGACACCATGCCAACCTTTACAGGTATTTTTAGAAAACCGTATCGTCATTTTATTAAACTGGTTATAAAGGATGTGTGACTCTATGAAAAAGCCAGATTTCAGCCTTTTTACTTCAATTCCTGGCAGTGTGGCTGAGCCTCAGGAACCCCGCCACTGAGGGGAAGCACCTCCTGTTGGGTAAAATGCTAACTGGTGTCATTTAGTTTAATTTATTTACTATGCAGAAATTCAGCCCAGGAGCAGGCACAGTCAGGCCCATGTCTGTCACTGAGCTTCCTCTCAGCTCTTTCCACTCATTTTATGAAGCCGCTACAAACCTGACACCAGCATTTTTCAACAAGTACAGAGAGTCTTAAATAAAATGTTAACAAACTGGATTCTGTCCTAGACCTGATAACAGTGCTGTGTGCCTATTCACAGCTCCCTGGGAGGCTGGCGCAGGAAGGTGAAGCCAGGCTTCAGAGTCAAGCTGGGGCAGAAAAGAAGGAAAAGGAAATGAGAGCGTGCTGACCCTTTATTTCCCTTATCGAAGCATTAAAAATGGAACCTGAAACTGACTAGAGGTCAAAGATGAATAAGAAGCCACTTTGGAAAGTGAAAGAAATCTCAAGGTGATTCATTCTCCTGCAGGGTAGGAGGCAGCATCAGCTGTAGTTCCCTTTCCTGAGCGGCAGGGGGCAGAACAGACCTTCTTTGCATTTTCCTAGGGACTGGGCTGAAGGATTGGTTTCTGTCCCCTATCTCTTGTCCTCAGGGGTAATGTGACTGACCATGCTTGTGCCAGCTGGGGGAGATTTGGAAACCACAGATGTCAGCGGCAAGAGAGTGTGTCTAGGGCATACGCTATCCGTGTAAGGCCCAGGAAAGGAGCAGGTGGGAGATTTTGGGGGAAATCACTTCATTCAAATGAAGGCAGGTACTAGCCACACAGCAGAGGGAGAAAGAAAACAGAAAACTACCTGGGAAGACCTTAGACTTTAGCCTCGGGCAGCTCCCTGCGATGAGAGCACGCACAGCTGATCAGTGAAGGGCTGCCCTGGGCTGCAGAGGGGGAGAGCTGGTTGTTCCCTGAAATACCCAGTTTCCACCAGAACTCACAAGGCCTCTGAACAAAAGGAAATGAGGGCCCGTGCCAGAGAAGAAAGCAGACTGACAGAACGTGCTTCTGAGCACAGCAGCAGGACATTTTAGGAATGGCTTTAAAACATGTGTCTTCATAGCCACATGGAGAAGAAGGAAACTAGACCCTTTTCTTTCTCACACTAAATATACAACAATACTGACAGTGAGGGAAAGCCATCATGTAAGAGCAGAACCTGAAAAGGTACTAAAAGAAAACACAGAAGAAAAGCTCTGTGATACTGGATTTACCTGGACTCCATGGATGTGATCCTCTAAAGCACAGGTAACTTAACCAGAAAGAGTTGCATGCAGTTCCATTAATTTGAAATGTGACACACATCAAAGGAGGTCATCAAGCAGTACAGATGACCCAAGAATGGGAGGAAATATGTGGCTCCCACCCCTGTAATGAGAGGCTGATATCCAAAGCAGAGCAGAAACTCTAGGGAGAAAACAAATGACCTGGTTACTAAATGGGCAGAATTGACAATAATAATCCAAGGAGATAAACCAATGGCCAGTCAGCATTAAGCAAAGTTTGATATCACTAAGCATCAGGGGAGAGGCAAGAACCACAATGAGCTATCTGGTTACTACTGTTAGAAAGACTGCTTTTATTAAGATTTGTTTTATTTTTACTTCTATGTATGTGTGCGCAAAATGAAAGTGTCTGTAGAGGCCAGAAGATTGCATTGGATCCTCGGGAGTTGGAGCTACAAACAGCTGTGACCTGCCCTACAAACAGCTGTGACCTGCCCTACCGGCATAAGGGAAAGAAAACTTGGAACTTTTGCAAGAGCATCAAGTGCTCTTAACCGGTGAGAACCCCTCCAGCCCCTAGAATGTCTGTTACCAAAAAGATGAGAAACAAGTGTTGGCAAGGATGTGGAGAGAAGGGAATATTTGCACAGCATTGGTGCCAGTAGAAATTGCTATGGTCACCATGGAAAACATTGTGGGGGACCCTAAGAGTTAGAAAGGGCCAATGTGGTGGCACATGCCTTTAGTCTCAAATTCTTGAGGCAGAGGGAGGTGGATTTCAGTGAGATCAAGGCCAGCCTGGTCCACATAGCAAGTTTCAGTACAGCTAGGGTACAGGGAGACCCTGCCTCAAAAAAAAAAAAAAAAAAAAAAAAAAAAATAGAAACAGAACTAGATGATCTAGCAATTCAACCACTAGATGAACCCAGGGAAGGAGAAATCATGTCAGAGAGGTGGCTGCATGCGACTGTCTCCTACACCATTTTTCTAAATAACAAGATAAGGGGTCACCGGAGGTGTACAAACAAGGACGGAGGCATACAGAAAGCTTACTACATACATATAGTAGGTACTATAGGGTCTTTAAGAAGAAAGAAAATTTTGTCATTGGCAAAAACATGGATGGATCCGAAGAACGTTGTGTTAGGTAAAATAATAGGGACCCTGAAGCGATAAGGAAATCGAACTCACAGAATTAATTAATACAGTAGTAAACTGCATGTTACAAAAAGCATACAAAATTTCTGTTATATCAGAGAAATAGGTCCAAGAGCTCTGGTGTCCTACAGGATAACTAGAGAAAATAACAATGTATTCTATTTTTCAAAATTACCAAAAGAAGATTCATTATTGGCGTTGCTAGGGATTGAATCTAGGGCTTCGGCCTCGTTAGGCAGGTGCTCTGTGATTGGGCTCTATCTCCCGTCCTCTTTTGAGTCTCTACTTGAGAGAGAGCTTTGCTAAGTTGCTGAGACTGGTCTTGAGTTTACGTTGCATCCCATGCTGGCTTTGAACCTGTGAACTTTCTGACTCAGCCTCCTGAGTAGTTGGGATTACAGGACTGCACCACGAGGCCTAGATCTCAGAGTAGACCTGTGCCACGGACTCCGAACCCGTTCGTCTTGGGGAGAGGAACAGAGGTCCGCGGCATGGGGGTTGAGGAGGGGAAAGTGCGCTGCCCGCCCGTTTTGCCAGCCCTTCTCTCCGAGGACAATCAGACGTGGCAGGGAGTCTGTCAAGCAGAAGCTCGTTTATTTATTATTAAGACTGAACAATATTTAAAGGCAAAAACCACAAGCATAGCATAGGCGGGGAGGCCGGCATCCAATCAGCTCAGAGGTCACGTATTAGCACGCAGGCCCTTCTCATAGCATAACTCAGTGTTCACGAGGTGATCACGCGTCCTTCACTGGCTGAGCTTCAATCAGTATTACTTCTTATTGTTGCGTGCCAAGCTGGCCAGCTGGCACCGCCTTCACCTAAGCTGCTCAGCGCCATCTTGTTACCGTAGCTCCACAGACCTGGTGTTCTCTGCACAGGGATGACAACTTGTGGAAAGCAGTGCATGTGTCGGTTAGCCGGATTCAGTCTCCACAGTGCATACATACTTCAGAACAGTTCATGCTGCACTGTGAATGCACAGAATTATGTCAGTAAAGGATAAATGCAAACCCACAACGCTCCCAACATGTCCAAAGAGCTAAAGAACTACAACACATAAAAAAATATCCAGTGCCTCCAACCTGGGGTGGCCCTGACCCCAATAAGACATGAAATTTCAGCTGGAAGAGTCACGTGAGTCCGATGGGGTTACTTTCAGAGCGGTGCACAGGTGTGTGTGTTTGGGGATTGTATTTGTTCCATGCTGCCCAAGTCACTGAAGTGCCTCACCTCTGCCCTCCCACCTCTCTGCTCCCCCTGATTTCCATGGCTGCATCTGTGGCAGTCATTTTGGGTTTCAGTGTCCCCTAGTGTCACAACAGTGAAAGCAAACCCAGACTCAAACAGCTCAGGACACAAAGCCAGACTCCAGGAAAGGTGGTTTGGTGTTGGTTTTTGTTTGTTTGGTTTGGTTTGGTTTGGAGGCTTTTATCTTTTCAAACTCAACCTTTTCTTCCTCTTATTAACTGTACAGCATCAGGGGTTTCGCCATGACATTCTCACACACGTGATGTACTTTGATCATGTTGACCCCTCATAACCTTCTCTTGTATCCTGCCCACTGTGACTTCTCTTCCCACAGTCTCCCAGGTGCTGCACTGTCTTTTTAATTCTAGATTCTGCCTAAGGGAGAAGACATGCAGTATTTGTCTTTCTGTCATTTCACTTAACGGAATCTCCAGTTCCATCCATTTTCCTGTAAATGACGTCATTTCATTCTTCCTCATGACTGAATAAAACTCCATTATGTGCCGAGGATGTGGCGAACTTCATCGTGTGCATGTGCCCCTTTTTCTTTGTCTATCACCTAGTGATACACACCAAGCTTCAGTCTGTAACATGGCTGTTCTGAATAGGGCTGCAACAAGCATGGGGTCCACGTGTGTCTACTGTATGATGACTTAGATTCTTTAGTGCAAACTTCAGAATTTTGTTTGAATAGAGGTTCATTCCTTCTTTGACTATTTCATACATATAAACACTGTATCTTAATCATATCTGCTCCCCCAGAGATCCTCAACCAGTCCCACACCTGTCCCCCTCGCCTTTCCTTGTAACTGAGTGAAAGGGAGGCAGCGGGTTGGAGTGCTGACAGCTTGGTGACTTGCTCTTCTGCAGGTTCCGTAGCTGCAGTGAGTTCAGGAGTCAAATCACCCTGTCATGTCCACAAGACAGCATGTCACGGCGCTCCTCCCCGCCTGCTGCGCTGACACTCTTTATGCCTCTCTTCTGTGATGTTCCCATTTGAAAATTAATAACCAAACTGTACAGTAATAATTTTCCACAGTGAGAAAGTCTGTGCCCTTATGGAGCATGAGAAAACCTATCATAATTTCTACTCAGTGCTGGACCAGGGTTCTGCTAATTAGAGAAAGGCAAAGAAAACAGTTGATTAAGGGAAATTGATTTGATTGGATATGTAGAAAAAAGTAGAGAAAAATCAGTAGCATCAGAAAGGTTATCAATGTGCTAGATCCAGAAATCTGCAAATGAGAAGAAATTATACTACAAACAGAAAAAAAATCACTTAAATGAAGAACATAGGATGAAAGACATAGATCAATCTAGCGAAAGGTGTGGAAGGTCTTTTTTTCAAATTTTTATTTATTTACTTACTTTTGATTTTGTTTTGTTTTTTTGAGAGAGGGTCTCCCTATAGCCTCACCTGGCCTGAAATTCACTATGTAGACCAGGCTGGCCTGTTTTTTGAGACACGGTCTCCAGTAGCCTCAGCTGGCCTGAAACTCACTATGTAGACCAGGCTGGCCTCTGTAGACCGCTTGCCTCTGCCTCCTAAGTCCTGGGATTAAACGTGTGCACTATCATGCTCAGCTTAAGATTTATTTCTATTTTTATTTTTTTATTGTGTATAAGGGTTTCCCCTGCATCTATGTGTACCATATGTATACAGTGCTCACAAAGGTCAGAAGAGGGCGTCAGGTCCCCTGGAACTGGAATTACAGATGGTTGTTAGCTGCCATGAGGGTGCTGAGAAACAAACCTAAGTCCTCTGCAGAATCATTCAGTGCTCTTAACTGCTGAGCCATTTCTCTAGCCCCAGTGTGTAAGGTCATTAAAGAACATGGTATATACCTTTATTATAATACACACACACAAATGTAAAAGTATAGAAATATATTATGCTCATGGGCTGGAAAATCCAATAAAGATAGTGATTTTCTTCAATTTGAGCTATAGATATTTATAGTATAATTGCTTATACACCAATAAATAATTGGCAAGATGTGAGATACAAACTAAAAGTTGCAGATTCAGAAAAATAACAAATTCTGAAAACATCAAGTACTGGAAAGTACTTACAGAAGGCACACATACCCGACACCGATGTGATTTTGCATTTGCTACATCAAACAGGCTGAAGGCTTTAGCCACCATTTCCTGCTGAGGACTCTAAACCCAGGAACATAATGGTGGAAAAGGCAGGAAGACAGAGGATGCACACAGCATTGTTCCAGTAACTACGGGTGTGCAACACATCATCCAGACACAAATCCTGTGGCATAAAATAAACATTTATTATGCTTGTAGTTGCTGGGGGTAGGGAGACACGCAGGCCAGGGTGGGAAGCTTGGTTTCTGATCCATTCCCCCTCAATTGGGATGGACTGGCTACGGAAGCTGGAATCCCACAGAGGCTGTCTAACTTGTGTGAGGTTGATAGTGGTGAGGTATCAAGACCCCTCACATCCCCCTCTCCCGATGGCCTCCCACTCCACCCCCTTCTTTTGGCCTCTTCCCACTTATAGCCTCTTGCCTATCCAGCCCCTCACCTCTCTTCTGGTTTCTTCTGTACTCTGTTCTCCTCAACTCTAGACTGTGACGCCTCTCTTCACATGTGGGTGGAGGGAGACAGGAGAGTAATGGAGAGCTGAGTATGATCAAACTATGTTGTCTGCATGTATGAAAATGTCTCAGTGAAACCCAATATTTGGCACAATTCATAAGCACTAAAACCAAAACAACAGCCAGGCATGGTGGTGCATGCCTTTAATCCCAACACTAGGGAGGCAGAGGCAAGTGGATCTTTGTGAGGAGGCCAGCCTGTCTACACAGCAAGACTTCCAGCCAGCTGGGGCTACTGGGAAACCTTGCCTCCTAGAGAGCTAGAGAAAAACATGTTTTCCATAATTTGCATAAGAGATGGCCCCAAAAACGGAAGTGGCAGGCGGACTGTATGTGCCTAAGGTAGCCCTTGGAGCCGCCCAAAGAAACTTATCTTCCCAAAGAACTCTGAGAGCCTCCCCTTGCACTGTCTGGGGCCAGCATCCCGACCTGCCTCCTCTGGAGCAGCCGCCCTCTCCAAGCCCCTTCCCGGCTCTTAAGGAAGGTCGTTCTTGCCTGTGCCTAAGAGCACCTGCTTCTTAAGGAGGTGACAGCAGTGCTCCTCTGGGAATGCCTGTAAAGTTGTGAAGGTTGGGTTACTCACTAGGCTAGGAGTCCAGCACTTCAGTTTTGACAAGTCGAATGACAATCACAGAAGGGCACTAAACTACTCAGAAAACACCCACACTTCCTGCAGTGACGTGGGCCAAGGAAATACAGGTTCTTGAAAACTGAACTCTGCACCCACGGACATTGGAGGAATCCGCCCAGACCACGAAGGGCTGCGAAGAGGAAAGGGCACAGGAGAGAGCGACCATGCAAGCACTGTAGCCTGGCTCTCAGACTGCTGTCACCCAGCGCCACCACAGCCACTACCAGCTGGGTTTGCCCTGGGCTTAACCTTCCAGCTTGGCTCAGCAGGTGGCGGCGGTAGCACTGCCCGCTCTCCTTTCAAGCCCTCTGGCTTCTAGGAGCAGCACTCCCAGGTAAGTGAGCCTGCTGCACCACAGCATCCTCCAGCCAGGCCCCTTAGCCCTCTCTGCCTGCACGTCCACTCGGGGGGTACACTCTACTGGCTCTGGGATGAGGTGGGGGCCGCCAATACAACCCACACTTCTCGATGAGACCCTGGCTGGTTTGTCTCCCTTCTAGGAACCTTAATTCCTTGGCGTCTTCATCGCCTCTTCTACCAAAATACAGACTGCTGAGGACTTGGGCACCAAGGGAGCTTGAACTGCTGGCCAAGTCCCCACCTGGGCTTGGGATGCTGGGAGGGCTTGAGGATGCTGGGAGGGAGCCGGGATTCTTCCCAGTCTGAGCCTGGGCTAGTGAGGCAGGAAGAGCAGAGAGTGTGCACAGGTCTGGGGGTGTCGGTCTGCAGAGTCCCTTAAGGGGTAACCCCCATCCTCTTCAAGACCTAGCATTATTGGAAATGGGGGGAAAACTACCACCAGCCAGGGAAGAACTGCCTTCTAGAATCTAAAGAACTAAGCACCCTAGAGCCCCAAGGAAGTTTGCAATCTAGAAGATGAGACTATTTCCAAACTAAAGACTCAATGCCATCCGAGGAGGGTAAGGAGTGCACCATGGATTTTGTTCCCCAGGAGGAGCCCCTTCCATGCCTGTCCCCTCTGCTGTGCAGCCCTGCTAACCTGCACTTCTGGCAGAACTAAGGACATCTAAATGCCATCCTCTTTCCTGCTGAAGACAGCTACAGGGACAGCCTCAATCCTGAGTTCAGGTCTCAGAGAATTTTCTCTGATCAACACTATAATGATTTAAAAAAAAACAAAACAAAACAAAAAAAAAAACAGCTAGTATTTAAACCCAGACTAAAGAGTTTAGGGAGTATTATTTAAGTCCTGGAATTTGGTAAACTCCAGTGCCCAGCTTAGTTTTTAACGACTGTGTCCCAGGTATACGCACAAGGGTAGAGAATCTGAATCACAGAAAAATTTATATAGCTGCAGATGTTGGACTGAAATGGCCAGCATTCTAGGCTAGACCACATTTCTTCTGATAAGGAAACTCTACTGCATTTCCTTTGAATTTCAAGTTTCCCAGGGCCATGAGCATCCTCTTTCAGCATTTTGTCATGAGATATGATTCCTGTCCCCTTTGCCATCTACTGAGTGAGCCAGAAGTGCTTACTTAGGACAGGGACTGATTCAGGGGATGCTGGAAGTAGAGGCTGGGAGGAAAGGAGGAGCAAAGACTGCTTAGCACCACATTAGGAGAGGGTGGGGCCGAAGCTGCGTAACTGGGCAGAAATGAAACTGCTTCCCCGGCACTCTCAAGGGACTTTTGGTTTCATTTTTTGTTTGGTTTCTGTGTCTTGCCAGCCCCCAACTCCACTCCACCAAGGTGAGTGTGACAGGATCTTGTTAAAACATAGCCCAGCTGGGCATGGTAGCACATGCCTTTTAATCCCAGCACTCTGGAGGCAGAGGCAGGTGTATCTCTGTGAGATCATCAGATCGAGGCCAGCCTGATCTACATAGTGAGTTCCAGGCCAGCTGGGGCTACAGAGAGACCCTGTTTAAAAAAAAAAAACAAACAAACAAAAAAAACCTAAATGTCTACAAAATAAAATAAAATAGAGCCCAGACTGTCTTCAAACTCATATCCTGCCTAAACTTCACTAGTGTGAAGATGTTCAAGTGTGCATCATCCACTTTATTACCTGCAAGTTTTTAGGGTGACGATGAAGATCTCTTCGATCAGGATGGCAGGGAGAGTGGACTCAGATTTGGGGTAGCTCTCCTGTGGAAGAAACAGGAACTAAGAGGCACTAATTAGGGGCTGGAGAGATGGCTCAGTGGTTAAGAACACTGGTTGTTCTTGCAGAAGGCCTAGGTTCAAATCCCAGCACCGACAGGGCAGCTAACAGCTGTCTGTAACTCCAGTTCCAGATGATCCGATGGCCTCTTCTCTCCTCACCCGCATTGCACGACATGGATGCACTTACCTACATGCAGGCAATACACTCATACACACAAAAATAAAAATAATAAAAAAGAGACACTATTTTACCTACATGCAGGCAATACACTCATACACATAAAAATAAAAATAATAAAAAAGAGACACTACTTAGCTATCATATGAAGAAGAAAGCTCAATGAGACAGCCACATACCTCTCTCTCCCTCTCTCTCTCTCTCTCTCTCTCTCTCTCTCTGCTTTTTTGTACAGTTTTGTTACATTAAGACTAGTACTGAGCTTTAAATTTAGACTGAACTGATGATGTCCACCTGGCTTCATTGCTGTTCTTCTCCCAGGACATCTTCCCTTAGCCTGGCTTCTTCTGTAAGTGTCACAGGGACAGGTTCAAAGGCTTTTTCCATGGGGCTCTCGCTGAGTAAGATCCCCTAAGAAGACAGCTTTGTCCTTGCTCGCCTCTGAGATTTTAGGCAACCCTGAGGGTTAGAGCTGTTTATCCTGCATCTGCAGCCACAGCCTCTTCTACAGGTATTAGATGGGGCCCTGTAGTCCTGCTCAAGATAAAGTTGGTGGAGAAAAATCTAATGTCGCGCTCTAGGAGAGCATTTGATAATTCATACCACAATTCTTAAGTAACTTATCCCTGACCTACTCATTCAGATTTCAGAAACTTGTCTCTCTACAACACATATTACTTTATGTACTTGTATGATTTTAGCTTTTTTATGTCCCTGAGGCATAAGTGAAGCAAAATCTCAGGTTTTAGCCTGAATCTGCGTTTCCAGAATTTTGGACTCTTTCATTCACACGATTTTGCTCCAGCAGGGTTCCAGTTCTTCCTTTCTGGAGTCTGGCTCCAATTCTGTCTACCTCTGTTGGCCTACCACTCTCTGTTCCAACAGATCTTTATATGTGCCTGAACCATATCTGTGTGGAGAATGAAGGACTTCATGAGGGAACTCTTGGGCTCAGTGAAACTGGATGTGATTAGCACATCCAAGCCTGGGTCACACTGAGCCATGGGCTCCTATACTCACAGTGAACATGTGAAAGCCATTTCAAATCCTAGCTGTAGAGGGCTCATTCACTCACAGCGCATTAGTACTTCCTATGAAATTATGCATTTGTTTAAAAGGTTTTTTTTTAAAAAAAAAAGAACACAGCTAATCAGTATTTTATAAAACTGATTGTAAATGACATGTGATTCCATGGAAAAGCAAGATTCCAAAATTTCGACTTCAGTTTCTAGTAGTTTCTAGAGCAGAGCATGAGGAGCTCAGCCACTGAGGGAGAAAATTCACCACGTCAGGAAAATGTTAGGTCATTTTGTTTTATTTTATGTGCAGGCTGGGAATTTAACCCACGTTGGTAAATGCTCTTTCAGTGACATTCACCCCCAGCCTCCTCAAGACAGTTTATGAAGCTATTATGCTCGATAAAATCATCTACCCATAATAATACAGGAAAAGAGCATCATAGATGCCAAATTTTAAGCAAAATATTAATAAATTTCATCCAGTACTAAGAAATGATGACACAGTAATGAGATGTTTTTGTAGTCATAGCTTCTTGAGAGACTGAGGCAGGAGGATTGCTTGGAGCTTGAAGTTAGAGCCTAGCCTGGGCAGAAAGAAGGAAGAAGGAAAGTCAGAACCCTCACATTTTTCTTTATTCCATGGATACTTTTTTTTTTTTTTTTAATCTTTTTGGGACAGGGTCTCCCTGTAGCCTCAGCTGTCCTGGAACTCACTATGTAGACCAGGCTGGCCTCAAACTCAGAGATCTGCCTGTCTCTGCCTCCCAAATGCTGAGATTAAAGGTGTGTTCCACCACACCTGGCCCCCATGGATACATTTTTAAAAAACAACAACAGAAATTCACTGAACTGAAAGTCAGAGGGTGACAGCAACTCCAGATATGCCCAGTCAGGAAGCCACATTCAAAACTGCAGGAAATCTCCGATGTTTCACTCCCCTGCAGGGCCAGGGCTTAATCTGGAGGAGGCAACAGCCCATTACAGTTCCCTGCCTTGGACTGGAAGGGACAGAACAAACCTTATTTACAGTGTTCTCACCATGTGGGGATTGGCTGAAGGACTGGTTCCTATCATGTGAGTCCCCAAGCAGGGCAGGTGACTGGCAGGGCTTGTGAAAGCTACAGGAAGCTACAAAGCCAAGGATGACTGGGGCAAGAGAATACGGCTCAGCATTTAAAACAGGCGTCCAAGGCACCTGAAAATTACCTAGTGAGTAGGTTTTAGAAGGAATCTAAGACATTCAAAACCAGCCTTGAATTAATAGACATTGAGAAAACCACAGAAAAAAATTCTGAGAACCTTAAGCATTAGCTTCAGGCTGCTGCTCCCTGGCATGAGAGCATATGCAGCTGACCAGTGAAGGACCACCTTGGCCTGGAGGTGGTCTGCAGAGTGGGAGAGCTGGTTGTTGCCATAAATGCCCAGTTTCCAACCAGAACTCACAAAGCCTGTGAACATTAGGAAATCAAGCCCCTGCCAGAGAAGAAAACAAACTGACAGAACCAGCCTCAGAGAAAGGCACGACCCTACACAGAGAAACATTCTCATCCTCACGCAGAGAATAAAATCGGACTCTTTCTCACACCAAATGACACAAATAAGCTAAAACAGATTGAACACTTGACTGTAAGACCAGACATTGAAGGACTGCTAAAAGAAGATACAGGAAAAAGGTTCTGTGATGTTTGGCATGATTTTGACTTGAATCTTTTTGTGTGTATTCCAATGCACAGGCAACAAAATTCAAAATAGACAAATGCAATTACATCAAACTAAAATTAGACATTATAAAAAAGAACCAAACAGAAGCTGTGAAGATAAAACATGTACATTGAAAAGAAAGGATTCAGGGACTAGAAAGATGGCTCAGCAGTTAAAAGCCCTGGCTGTTCTTGCAGAGGACCTGGGTTCGATTCCCAGTACTCACATGGCAGCTATGAACTGTCTGTAACTCCAGTTCCAGGGGAATCTGACACCCTCTTCTGACCTCCATGGGCATTGCACGACACAGGTGCACTTACACATACATGCAAGCAATACACTCATACACATAAAATAAAAATAATAAATAAAATATTTTTTTAAAGATACAAAGGATTCGAAAACTGACTTGAGCAGCCAGGGAGAAAAAAATCAGTAAACGTGAAGACAAAACCATTGATATTATTACGCCCGAGGAGCGGAAAGAAAGAAATGGGAAAAAGTATATAAAGCCAATGGTCTGCAGCAAAACCCCAGAACTCCCCAATACATAATGCAAACCACAAAATTCTAGGGAGACATGCCCCACTCTACCACGATAGAGTCTTCACTAACTCTACTTAATAATGACTAGAAAAGCCGGACAGAAGATCAGTACAGAAAGGAAGATTTGAACAACACTGTAATCTAATTGTTTAATAAAAAATGCAGAATCATTTTAGGTCCCAGTCTGTAACACAACTGACCCTGATAGCCCCCAAAGGTAACACTAATAGATCAGGGCACAGAGACTAAAGCTGACTGCCTCACACCAGGCAGGCTGATGTAATAAAGTAACATAAACTGAGCAGGTTATGAATGATGGACATTGTTTCCCACAGTATGGAGGCTAGCAGTCCAAAATCAAGGTGCCATCATGGTCAGGGTCTGGTGAAGATCCTATTTTCAATGAAGAGGTCCTGACCTAACACAGAGTGAGCTAGCTGTCTGGAGTCCCTTTTATCAGAACACTGGGTCCATTTGGATGACCTGGTCATCTCCAGAGGCCTCATCACTGTGGGGAATAAGGCTTATACATATGCATTTTGGGAGGACCCAAACATTTGAGTGTAGTGCAGCTGTTTGTACATAAGAATTCCTCTTCATTGGAAATATTTGGGTGTCTGACATATGTGGGTGGATAGCAGCTCAGCCCACTTTGCTCAAGAACAATGGTCAAGATTTGTAAGTTGAATTCATTCCTAGAAAGAAGGAAGATAAATTAACCCAGTTTATTTTTGTATGTCCTTTGATCCTCAAGGGCAATTATACCAAAGGACTCTCCATAAAAGTAGATAGTTAATGAAGTTAACATCTGAAATTACTAAAAGAAAATTTAAAAGTATAAATGGCTGTGTGATAAAAGCTTGTTCACCGAGAGGGTCAAGAACAGGCAAACTGCCCTTAAGGCTTGTTTTAAAAAGGAGACAGAGTACAAGTTATACAATACTGAATATTCAGAAAGATATATAAGCACTGGTTTTTTAAAAAATGATGCTAACGCCGGGCGTGGTGGCGCACGCCTTTAATCCCAGCACTTGGGAGGCAGAGGCAGGTGGATCTCTGTGAGTTTGAGGCCAGCCTGGTCTACATAGTGAGTTCCAGGACAGCTGGGGCTACAGGGAGACCCTGTCTCAAAAAGACAAAAAAAAAATGATGTTAAAAATAGAGAAGAATCATATTGAACTACAGCAGCATATATGAAAATTCACTAGGCGTGTAAGTTATTATAGTCTAAAGTCTGTGAAAAAAGTAGCCATTTCCCCCACGCACACTTGCCGGTCCCTGGGAACATAACAAGTGCAGCAAAGGATCTTGCTGTTTCCCTCACAGTACAGGATTTGCTCTTTTCTGCTTGGGTATTTCCCCAATGTCTGTGTTTTACAGGAAAGAGCTTCTGCTTGGAAGCAAAATGGCTGCTGGGAAAATGGACATCGGTACTGATCTGGAAACTGACCTTCCTGGGCTGGTTCTAAGTATACCGGGGATCACGCTTGGAAAGAAGAGCAGGGAGGAAATGACAGACTCTAGACGCAGAAAAGAGGCTGAGGAAGTCTCCCAAGTTCTGTGTGGGCTGCTAAACTCTGGAGGGGGCGTGGTCAAGGCTAAAATTAGAAATGAAGACTACAAACTCAGCAGAGATGGAATAGGACAGGATTTGGAAAACTCTTTTTCTGATATTCTGCCATTTGTTCCGCAATGCTTAGAGTTCAAGCAGGATGGAGGCGACTTTTTAATTGTTGTGAAATCACAGAGTCTGAGAATCTGTGCTCTGCCCGTTGCCACCTTGGCAACCAATTTGTACATAAGAAATGGAGCATCTTCTGTTCAAATGGATGTTGCTGGTGCACTGAAGCTCCTCAAAGATGTGAAGGACACTAGAGGGAGATTGCATTTAAAAGCAGAATTGCCTGATGAAAGGTCTGAAGATGGTTTACAGGAAGAACGTCACGTGGAGGATTTGGCTGCTGCGTTTTTTAATGAGACAAAACTGAAGCACAAAATGAAATTCTTCTTTGCGGAATCTAAAAATGTTGAATATAAATCATTTAATACAAACAATTTATTAAAACGCATTAAAGAGATTCTCCCTCAAACTGTTTCTGCCTTTGCAAACACTGATGGGGGATATTTGTTTGTTGGTTTAGATGACAAAGATCAAGAAGTAATTGGTTTTGAAGCAGAGAAGAGTTATTGTGTCAAGATAGAAGCTGAAATAAAAAGGTACATTCATCGACTGCCTGTTTATCACTTCTGTGAGGAGAAGGAGGAGATCAAGTACTCATGCAGATTCATTGAAGTCCGCATCGGAGAAAGCGTTTGTTCATACGTCTGTGCACTCAGAGTGGAGAGATTCTGCTGTGCAGTGTTTGCTAAAGAGCCGGATTCCTGGCACGTGGAAGACAAGGTTCTGAAGCCGTTTACCACAAAGGAATGGGTCAAACGCCTGATGGATGGCAGCCAGGATTGAAGAAGGGAGATGAGCAATCAGGACACATTTGGCTAGGGAGGTCGAAAGGTTTTCTCTTTGGTATTTAGGGCAAGATTCACAGTCCTCACTTTACTAAGTTATTAGTCTCCTGTGGATGTTATCAGTAGTTTGTTACCTCTTGTTATCTTCTACCCAACTGGAAGAGTTCATACAACTAGCATGCACGTTTCTCTCAGGAGTCCAATGTATGATACCCAACTTTCTGTCACAATGACAAATATCTGAGATTATTAACTTAGAAAGAAGCAAGATTTCTTTAGGCCTGTGGTTTTGGAGGCTCCTGTCTGATCAATGTGTCTGATCAACGTACCCTGATGCTTTTAGAGATGGCATATTGTGACAGTGAACATATGATAGGGCAAAACTTCTCATCTCATGACCAAGGATGAAAGAGAAGAAGATGAAGAAGAAAAAGGAACCAGTCATAATCCCCTTCAAGGATCTTCTGAACCGACCCAACAGTTAGTTTCCTGTAGTGATCTGGTTATATCATGGGAGTTTTTTGAGAGCTCCTGCTAGGGCCACCTCCTAAAGCATAATCCCCTTCAAGGATCTTCTGAACCGACCCAACAGTTAGTTTCCTGTAGTGATCTGGTTATATCATGGGAGTTTTTTGAGAGCTCCTGCTAGGGCCACCTCCTAAAGATCCACCACTAGGAGGAGGAGGAGGAGGAGGAGGAGGAGAGGCCAGAGCCTCATAATCCCCTTCAAGGATCTTCTGAACCGACCCAACAGTTAGTTTCCTGTTGTGCTCTGGTCATATCATGGGAGTTTTTTGAGAGCTCCTGCTAGGGCCACCTCCTAAAGATCCACCACCTCCCAATTAGCATCATTCTGAGGAAAAAGCCATACCACATGGATATTTGACTTACACTTAAGTTCCAAACTATAGCATTCTACCCTGGTTCCCAAGAGTTCCTGTCCAACTCACTAAGGTAAAAGCATTTAATCCATCCCTAAGAACCCTAAAGCTTTAACTGCTTTGCCCCACCACCTCTACTTATACTCCAGAAAAACTGTCCAATTTCTCTTTTTTCCTCTTGAGCTCCGTTTCAGTCCCTGACCATTTCTTTCAGGAATCTTTGCCACTTTTATCTGCTCTTTCATTTTTCTATCTCCCTCTTCCCAGTTACCTTTCCCATAAAACCTCTTCTCTTTTGTCTCACCGTTTAGACAATCTATAGCTCTGATTTTCTGATGAGAAAAGCCCAATGCTGATATTGTATCTGGTTTTGGAAAAGGAAAGACTTGAATGAAATTGGACTAACAGCAGCAGCACGGAATCTCTGACAGTGCAAGCTGCCGCCTCAGGCTCCTCGCATGCCGGGCATTCCTTCATCTGCCTCGGGTTTTAGCCTCTGATTTTAACTTCTGTTAAACAGATAAACTAATAAATAAGTGACTCATTTGGCAATGTGCATCTGACCTAGGAATCTAACCACAATAACTAACAACATGTTTCAACTGGTTAGCAATCAGTTCTAAGTAGACCTAATGTTATTCACTAGTTCGTTGGGAGGTCTTCCTTGTGCAGACAGAGTATGATTTTTTCACTAAGTTTTTCTGACTTACCAAAGAAGCTTTCCCTTCAATCAAGCGTGCCACACCACCACTGCCCTTTTGGTTGTCCACGTCTCCTCCCCACACGATGACAGCAATCTTTTACTTGGCCCCCTGCTTCCTAGTTTCCTAGCTTAATCCAGTTCTCATTCTGCCATCCAAAGAACTTCTCGTTAAACCAGGAGCTGCTTTTAGCAGATTTTCTGCTCGTGTGCCTCTGGGGAGCCCCCTCAGCCTTCAAACCACATCAGTTTCTGAGGCGTCCCGTGATGCGCCCTGATCTGCTGCTGACTTCAACCTTGATCATGGCTTCATCTCCCAGTATTTCTAATCCACCCAGCCTCAGTGGTTCTTTTTTGGGTGCTGGTAGGCTGTCCTCTAGGCCACCTACTTTGACTGAGTGTGTTAAGGACAGCGCCTAGGTTAGCATTACATACTGGCTACAGGTCTTAAGCCTGACGGGACTTTTGGGAAGAAAGGGTCTTAAGCAGCCTCATTTAATCTCCAGTTGACTGACTTAACACAATTTTGAAATGAATGGAATCAGTTCTCTTTTTTTTTTCTTTCATTCTTGGAATTCCAACCCCAGGATCCGATCCCACGTCTACTGGCTCTAAAGAGCATGGCAATGTGCTCTGTGCTGCTCTGCCTCCTGTCCATCAGCGTGAAAGGCATGCAGGCCCATGTGGACAGCAACCCACCTGATTTTGTGATCTTAATGAAATCGATTCATCTTAGATTTTAAATGTGTCAATTTATAATCAAATACTTGTCCAAATGGTGTACATAACAGGAAGTGATTAGAAGAATGCACTATCTACACTAAGAAATTAAAAATAGAACTTTCATTACAAGATCTACATGATGACGTTGCAGGATTATTAAAAGCTAGAGAACCACAAAAGAAGATTCATCCCTCTCCCCCTCTACGCAAACACACACCAGTTGTTTTTCCTATTTCTTATTCATTCCCATACCCACTAACAGATACATTTGACTGAGTTGTGATCAATGTACCTTCCAGCTGTTGTCTGTTTGGGCTGGTGTCCAGGGCCCTTCCCACTCTGCAATCTCCCATACGGCAGGCAGGCATTTTCCTGGTTACGGTCTAGCAGAGCTGATTCTTGGTGCCTGTGGGTAGGGAGGGGATCCAGTGCAGCGCATCCTCTGTGTCCAGCTGGTTTCCTGCTGCAGCCTGAGCTCAGGCCTGTGAGAAGAGGAAGAGGGCGATGGGTTAGCAAAAGAGGAAAACCTCCTCACAGTCTCCACATAACACGGGGACAAAGGAGGGCCCCAACGTTCCAAGGGACTCAGCAGCAGCGTGACACAGGACAGAAGCGTTCTTCTCCCTTCGTTTCCCCACAGCCCACTGTGAGACTCCACCATGGGTGACAATTGCATCCTCCCTAAGAAGTGCAGAACACAGGAGGTCTGTAAGGAGATCCCTGTTTGCCTAGAGGTACTAAGCATAGAGGTAGAATATGCCGTACCAAAACATGCCATTATGCCATCATTTGAGCTAAAGGCAACTGAAAAACTACAGCTGCAAGAGACACATTCTAATCTTTTTATTCCTGAAAACAAGACAAAAAACTCCCACGTGCAAGATGCCTTCCCTGTAGAAAAGAAGCATTCTTTCACAGAAATCACAGTGAAAAGAATTATGTAGAAAAGTTTTCTTATTTATAATGTCCTTCTTTCCATATTACTTTCCCTCCTTCCCTCCCTCCTTCCTTCCCTCCCTCCCTCCCTCCTTCCCTCCCTCCTTCCCTCCTTCCTTTCCTCCCTCCTTTCTTCCTTCCCCTTCCCCTTCTGCTTTCCTTCCTTCCCTCCTTCCCTTCTTTCATTCCCACCCCAGTCTCTCTTCTTCCCCTCTGTATTTAGTCCCCTTCTTCCATCCAAATGAATCTAGATTCTGTATATGAGAGGAACTATTTTATATTCATCATTGTAAGTCTAGCTTATTTCATTAAACATGATGAATTCAAATTACATCCACTTCTCTGCAAAAGTCATGATTTCATTTTCATCATAGCTAAGTAAACCCCCATTGTGTACATTGTGCATGTCACATTTTCTTTGCTCAGTCACCCATTGATGGGCAACTGTGCTGATTCCAAATCTTGGCCATTGTGAATAGTGCCACAGTTAACATGGATGTGTAGGTATGCCTGTGGAATGCTGACTCTGTACCCAGGTGAGTATAGGTAGGTCATGTGGTAGTTCTATTGTTTTCAGTAATCTCCACACTGATCTCTAGGGTTTGCAGCTGTTTACATATACAGTGAAGTGCTGTTATCCTCTGGAAAATGGAACAGGCCAAGAAGAAGGAGAAAGAAAGAAGGGTTTTTGTTATTGCTCTAGTAACTTAAAAATAATTTTTATTTATTCTTTAACAATTTCATACACATATGCAATGTATCTTGATCCTCCAGTTCCCCCCCACACTCGCCCATGACTCGCCGAGACGTGCCCACCCCTTTTTCATGTTGTCTCTTTTAATAGAAGTCCCTTGATTTATAAATTTTTACTTTATGTGTGAGTGTTTTGCCTGCATGTATGTAAATGCTCTGCAAGCATACAATGTCCAAGAATGTGGACAAAAGGGGGCATCAGATTCCCTGGAACTGGAGCTACAGGTGGTTGTTAGCCACCATGTGGTGCTGAAAGAACCAAACCCAGGTCCTCTTTAAGAGCTGCCAGTGCTCTTAACCACTGAGCCACCTCTCCAGCCCCATGCCATCTTTTTTGTTTGTTTTTGTTTTTGATTGAGACAGGGTCTCCCTGTTGCCCCAGCTGACTTGGAACTCTATGCAGAACAGGCTGGCCTGGATCTCACAGAGATCCTCCCATCAGTGACAAACACCACCATGCCTGGTGTCCATGTCTTTCTTGTTTTTTTTTTTTTAGAACCCACTGAGTCTGTATGAACATGGAAAACCCACCAGTGGCCATATCTTGGAAAAAAAAAAGTGACTCCTCCCTCCCCAGCAGCTGTCAGTTGCCAGTAACTTCTCAGCTAAAGGTGGGGCCTCATGAGCCCTTCCCCCATCCATACTGAAATTATTGAATCACTTGATCTTGTTCAGGTCTTGTGTAGATAACCGTAGTTGCAACAGGCATTTCTTAGTTAGCATTTCACAGCCCTGGGAGATAGTATTTTTAAAGCTTTTAAAAAACTGTTATTTTGATTTGCTACATGGGTCAGGCTAACCCAGACTGACCGCTGACTTGCAGCAATCCTCCTACCTCCCAGTGTACAAGGATTAAAGGAGAGAGCCACTATACCAGGATGAGCGAGATTTTTACTTTATATATCCAGTAGCCTTGAGTCGCTCTGAGCAGCAAGAAAATAGGAAAAGGGAAGAAAGCAAGCAAGGGGGACATTCCCAGAGCCACGTGGAGAAGCAGGCAGTGCATATCATTGACCTTCCACCTGATTTTTCTTCCATGATCCACCAGATGTAGTTGGAGCCCAGTAGAAATCCCCACTGGATCTCCTGTCACTGACAGAATTGTTAATACTGTCAGCATTACCGTGACTGAGTTTTTGCTACTGACCACCTTAGCTTGCTGCTTCCCTCCCCAGCCACACAAGTCCCCATTCCCTTGAGCTCTTGTTTGGAATATACATGATTACAACTTGAGTTATTGACACATGGACTTAGCAACCATTCTTAACTATTTAAAAAAGGTGTTGTGCCCTCATGGGAACTGAATTGGAGAGTCACAAGAGAGATGACTGGTTCCCAGTCTCGGATGCTTTTGAGAACCTTCTGGATACTTTGCAAAGGTGCAGATATCCAACCTCCTCCCCAGACATACTGACTCAGGCTATCAGATGCTGGTGCAACATCATCCAGAGGCCCCAAAATATCCCACAGACATCACACATATGGGGAGGAACAAGCAGACAGAGAGCCCTTGCCGTTCATTTTACATCTTAATCACGTTTGGCATAAATATGGAGCTTACTTATGAAAAAGTTGACTTTCACTTTTGCCTTCTTCATATTTTTCCTTTCAATCTTCTTTCCAAGAAACAATACTGGGACATTTGTTGAGGACTAGAACCTTTAAAAAAGCAATGCCTCATCTGTGAATATAGCAGCTGAAGACAACATAACAAGAAACAGTGCCAGACAGGAGAAAACTTCCTTTGAGTTGTTGGCCAGGGTGGTCCCAGAGACTCCCAAAATTACCCAGCCTATTGCCACAGTCATTGATTGCCTCCCAGAACTTGATAATAAGACCTTATTGCTGAAGACAGGACATACTTTGGATACAGGATTTGGAGCAATGGAGCTGGAACTGACCTGGAAACCACCTCCCCTGAAGGCTAGCTCTTATACCTTTGGAGAACACTTCATAAGCTGGTAATTGGAGAACATCAATTGATGGTTCAACTCCAGCTTCAAGGCCTACAAACCATGTTAATGACCAGCACAGCAAACGACATTGGTGCATTAGTGGCACTTTTATCTTGGGGGTAATGAACAGCTACCTAAGCCCACTCAAGGTGAGAAAACTCATGTCTGATACTGTAAATCTAGCCAAATACACATTGCTGGAGAGGTCATAAATCTTAGAGAAAACCCAAGGCTCTCATAACCCTAGACAAATGTAATTTCTTACCATATGCAAAATATGGATTTTGAATTTACAGGCAAGCATCCCAGTCACCACCCATCAAAGTAGCTTCTTTTTCAACAGAGATTATTACAGAGTTACACCACTGGTCACAAACATAGATTCACTGTGAATTGCCCAAGCCTAAGTGGCACAACTATTCTGCAACCTCTACACCTAAGACTCATGGAACATAGAACAAGGGATGAAGAGAACATTAATGCATCTTTCAATTCTCATCAATGAAGCTCCTCCTGCAACAGAGGACCAGGAACACAAAAGGCCAAAACACATAGAATAAGAGTCAGTAGAATGTGGGTCCTTGGACAGGCCTCCTATATTGAGGTCCATCCACCCAGGGCTCAGGCACCATTGTGGAAGAAGGGGTGGAAAATGTATAAGAGCCAGGGAAGAGGTGCATGACCATACGGAAATAGTCCTACAGGCACCTGGAACCCTTCTCACTCAAACCTGTAGCAATGGTGTCAGCATGCATAAGACCCATGCAAACATAGGCAGACAAAAACCCAGCATAAAACTGTGGCACTGACCAGCAAGCCCCAATCTTAGTCGAAGAATTATTGGCAGCTGATTACCACTGGGTGAGGAAGAGTTGATCTTGAAGAGAGAGATTCTAGATAGGCTGACTAAACCCCAGTAGATGAACTTCCACTGAGGGACAGTTTGGGACACTAACTTTACATAACAGGCTTTAATACAAATGACAGAATGTATGAACTCCAGTGGGAGGGTTGTGGGACGGTGCCAAAGGGGAAGGAGGAAGAGGGTATAAAGATGATTTTATGTGTGAAATGCACAAAAATTCAATAAAGAATTAAAAAATAATCCCTCAAGGTCTGGGATTATATAATTGTGACTCAATTATACATTGATTTCTGAGGTCCTGGGCTTCCTTCAGAGCCCACATGCCCCTCCCAACCAAAACTTCTAAGTTTAGAAGACCAAATCTTCAGATATATTTGTCTTAATTGTGATCTCAAATCAGTGTTTTTTATGGCTTAAAAACAGTAGATCCTGGGCTGGAGAGATGGCTCAGAACACTGGCTGTTCTTGCAGAAGACCCTGGTTCGAATCCCAGCACCTACATGGCAGCTAACAACTGTCCTTAACTCCCTCCAGCTCCAAGGGAATATGTCACCCTCTTCTGAGCTCCATGGGCATTGCATGACATGGGTGCACTTACATACATGCAGGCGATACATGTACACACATAAAATAAAAATAATAAATAAAATAGTAAAAAACAAACAAACAAACAAAAAACCCAGCTTAACTCCAGTTCCAGGAGATCTGACAACCTCTTCTGTCCTCCGTGGGCATTGCACGACACGGGTGCACTTACCTACAGGCAGGCGATACATGTACACACATAAAATAAAAATAATAAATAAAATAGTAAAAAAAAAACAAACAAAAAACCCAGTAGGTCCTTTGTGCCTTCCCATTCTGGTCAGCTCAACATCTCCAGGGGGCAGCATCCACAGTCTCTATGGAGCTGGGCTGGAACTTTTCCACCCAGCTTGGCAGTGGAGGATCATTGCGGGACAGTGGCAGAGGCATTCAGCACCTCCCTGGCTCCTGGCTGCTGCTTCCTGACATGGCCTGAGCCCTCCAGCCTAAGCAGCAACCCAGGTGCGTCCCTTCCATCCTGGCCAGCACGCTCACCCAGTGGGCACATTTTGCCAGGCCTGTCCTTGTTGTAGCTCCGAGGGTCCACAGCTGGGTAACAATGGTCAGTTTTCTCTTCTGGTAGCATGCACAGCACCTTCCAGCACTTTGAAAGCCAGCCAGTAGAGATGAAGCTTTGAGGTCAGTACCACCTTGATTTTCTGTTTGTTCTACAACTCACTTCTGTAGAGTCTCAGCAGTAGGGTCTTACCATCAAGTTCTGACAGGAATCCAGGAGCAACGACAATGGCCA